CCGGTATTTTGTACTTTCCGCATTCGCCCACAATGGCGACAGCGAAGCACACATTAATGCTAAGGGGCGGGCCATTAGAAATCCCGGGAATCGCACGACTTCCCTCACGATTTGACGTTTGAGACTGGTTTTCTGTTGAAATTCGTCCTAATTTGTCTGTTCCGATTATACTTGAAAATGAGCACTTGCAAATTTGGCAATTATTGACTGCGTTGCTTGCTTTTTTGGAGTTAAAACACAGCCATTTACACATTGTTTCTATTCTGAATAAGCAGAGAAAACCCCGCAACATTTTAATGCGAGTTTGTTTGTTAATATCTGGGTTGCAGTCATTGGTTCTTTTTTGACAATTGACGCTCGAATGGGGCGTGTTATGAAAAGGGGCGTTTTACAAAATACCGGGCCTTGCTTGCAGGCCCACTATTCTTCCCTGGGCCTGCACGCGGGCTACTGTGCTTCTTTCCAACTACACAAAGGACTAGGCTATTTTAGAGTGAATTTTGTACGAACTATGTAGGTATTACCAAAATTGGCGTAATTTGAAAGAAGAACGTTCTGTTTCAATACAATTGATTACAAAACTTTCATGCCCACAACAACAACAACAACAACAACAACAACAACAACAACAACAACAACAACAACAACAACAACAACAACAACAGCAGCAGTATAAAGAAGTTAGAGACACGCCTACACACATGACGTGTAAAATTACTAAACTGCGAAGTCTAATGGTTAGACACTATTAGTGAAGTTCAAAACACCACTATGGACAAAAACAATACTGGGTGTATAAAAAAAATGTACACCTCTTCAAATTCAAATTAACCGTAATCTATTGCAGTAATTTGACAGCCGTATAATTTCTCGAATTAACGAATGCGTGAAAACACAAGGTCTTCTGCACATGGGAATTTAGGATGACTTCTATTTGTATCAAATTGTATGAACAAATACACAACTCAAAGAAAAATGTTTAAATTAAGCATTATTCAAGTCTGCATAAGATATAAAATGGACCAGCTTACTGCAGAGCAACAAATATTTAAACGGTTATGGCTAATTTGAATTTGAACGGGTGTACATTTTCTTTTATACACCAGATATTTGTTATATAATCATAACCAGAAAAAAAAACAAGTCCATGCTATGTACTGGTCATTGCGTCTTTTCCATGACGTATTTCCCATCAAATTTAATGGACTTTAATAAATCACTATGGAAATACCATACAAAGAAAAAACCCAGAATTTGTATTTACCATGCAGTCATAAGGTCAGCACCATGACGTCTTGACGAAGACACAAAATATTAGTGAAAATGTAATTGGCCATTGGATTTTAAATTTAATTGGTTTCTTTTTCAATACGTCTTCGTTTCTGTTGGATTTCGTCTAGACCTGTTTGAATTCAAACTTGACGACAAAGCATTGCAAAGTATTTTGAATAATGATGGTATTAGATCTACTCCAAGTAAAAGAAACACTGGTGCTTACTGTTCACCATCGCCATTTAACCAGGTAAATAATATTAAAATTTTAATTAATTTTGTACAATAAATTGTAAGTGGCATTTAAGTATGTGGACGACTTTTGACCGCTACAGCCTACAACTGGCAAAACATTTTAGCGACCTCTTGGTAAAGAGGGGTCGGCGTTACTGTATAGTCTCCAATTTTCAAAGTATGGTACCTTGTTTTCTTTTCTGGTGCACGTGTACACTCTGGTGCACGTGTACACAGTAAGCTAACCTTCTATAATGTGGATCTGGCGGTTGAAAAACATAACGTAATTATGTAAGTTTTGGTTTGTGGAAACACCATGTTTATTATTGCAAAGCTTTCGATCCGTAGCCCGGATCGTCGTCATGCAGAGCTAATCATAATATTATAATTATCAATAATGCTTTAAAATTGACGCCAGTTTTGCAGTAATATAAGCAAAATGTGCTGAAGTCCTATGCTGAACTTCAGACATAATTTTCTCTTTGACATGCAATTCAGAATCTTTTCATTTTAGCATTTTGCAGATAAAGGACTAAATAATATACTTTTTAATTCAAATAAATTTCTTTACCCATTGAGAGATGCAGTATAACAATTTATTAACAAACATTGAAAATTGTGATTGTAGTCACAACAAAGTGGCGTTATACTAATTAGTTTTGACTTTTGAACGCGTGTTACGTAACACACAAAAATTTCGTGTTGATCCGTGCATGATAGTCATATGTATACATGGCAGTAAAATAACTTTTTAGCCACCTCTGGGATGTGAAGTTGTGAACTTATATATCATGGAAGTTCATAAGTAATACACTATTACAGTGCGTCTGCGCCATTTTGGAAAACAAGTAGAATTTTCGCGCCAATTTTCCCGCCGAGCGAGACTAGGCACTAGTAAACAAGTGAGATATATTTTTTACATATATTGTATAACATCTAATAATTACAAAAGAAGAAGTTAATTTCGGAACATTTTACATTTAAAACTCATTGCAGTTAAAAGATCTAAAAATAGTTCTTGATAATTCATAATTTAGAACGTAATTCATAAAATGTACAAGTCCAGCGTTAACGCCTTTAAATTGCGCAATTGCTTAAAAAACCTCTGCTGTAACAGAGTTTAATTTGAACTCGTCTATATGTTCATCTTTCGCACGAAATGGCGATCTGGATCCTCTCGTGCACAAATGCACGGATTTCAATATTTCGAAAGACAATCTTGTTCTGATCCAGGTAATAACTGTTGCGTAATCTTCTCCGTTTTTCCTCGACAATTTCTCGGCAAGATGCTTTAAGAATTTCTGGCATTCGTCTCCAACTCCTCCATTCGTTCCAAAGACTAAAGGCGTAAAAGTTCCCATTTCCACGTCTAAGATTCTCTGTTGGTACTTTCTTTTCTTCTCGGCTTCTTGTTCCTTAAAGATATCAGATGTGGCTTTGTTTTGATGACATTGGGAGTTTACATGCGATACACGGACGTCAAAAAATGATGTAACTCCTCTTGCCCAAAACTCGCCAGCTTTGATATCCAATCGCGCATCCGGGCTTCTGTTGGTGGACTGTAAACGGAATTGTTCATTGTCCAATGGCATGATTTTCGGTTCGGCTTCCACGTTGTTGCATACTCTGCTGAGCAGCGTGGTCAGTAAATCACGAACACCGTCATGCCTTCGGACCACAAAACCTCCTCTTTTACACGATAATGCGTGGTTGACGGAAAATGCAGACCCACAAACGCAATGACTTGGCAAGTCAGGCAATGGCATGCCATACCGCATTCTTATCGAATCCTTAAATTCTTCTTTGTTGAGGGTCAAACCTTGTTCTTCAACCGGTATAGCATTTAACCATGAGCTTGCTCCTTTATCCCGCGCTTGTTTAACAAAAAGTAGGAGATCGGCTGGGAGAGACTCGTCGATACGTTCTCTTTTTGCATTGGCATTTGCCCTCTTGATTGACTGCTGTTCGTTTTTTATCTCGTTAGTGATCTCTGGCATGGAAGTGCATTGCGATAATATTGCCTCCACATGTGGACGTGTTATTGACGTCGATGCTGCGTACTGTTGTGGCGCTTCTTCACTTAATGCAGGTATCCCTAAACCTCCTTGTGCAGGGGACAGTGTGATAACTTCGTGCAATTCTTCTGGCAGAGGCTCTTCTTGGCCGAACAAGGCTGGGAGAAACAACTCACTTATGGCTTCCTCGATAGGGTTAATATAATCTTCAAAGGAGCTTATCGTTCGCATAAAATATGTAAACTTCGATTTGAAG